TGCGGCCCGCACCCGGGTGACACCATTGGAGGGGTGACACCAAAATGACTGACAGTCATTTTGATGTCACCCCCCTCTGAGAAGTCGGGCGCTCGGTCATGGACCGAACGCCCGACAGTAGCAGGAGAGGGGAGGGAACCCGGCGGCATACCTTATCCTGCTGGGTGACTGTCCCCTCCTCTCTCTGCCAGCGTCAATCACCAAGATGGGTCCCGGCATGTAACAGAAGAGCGTGCGCGATGACGTCGTCGCGCACGGTGACGTCCGGTGGGGAGACACCAGGTAACCGCTCCGGGTGTCACCCAGCCTCGGGACGCCCCTGGATGAGAGAAATACACTTATCCCCATAGCTAGAGCTGACGTGTGAAACTGCAGCTGTCAAACATCGGCTCTGTAGATCGAGAGCTGAGCGATCACATACTGCTAACCGCTCAGTTCATAGTTACATACCCTGTTTCCCTGAAAATAAGACCTAGTACTATTTTTGGGAATTGCTAAAATATAAGACCTACCCCGAAAATAAGACCTAGTTGTGACCATTCCCAGGGCCGGTGGTGGCATAAGGGGGAACTTGAAGAGCCGTGGCAGAGAATCAGCGGTGCCAACGAAGCCAGCACTAGAGGAAGCGAGGTGGCACCGGAGGGAGCAGAGCCGCATAAGCCGATGCCTCCTCTATAGCGCCGGCTCCTGTCACAGGCGGAGTGATACCAAATGCACTCTGCCTGTGAGGAATCGATAGTGAAGGTGCGCTTCGCTCATTCTGACCAGCGATTGGTTAGCAAATTGCTCTTGGAAAGGTATGGCACCCCTGATCACCGTATTATTGTACATGAATACATGTAGACTGTTGTACAGGAATGAGTGTGGATTTTTGTACATTAAAATAAAAAACTAAATAAAACCTACCCCGAAAATAAGACCTAGAGGTGTTTTTTGAGCCAAAAAAAATATAAGGCAGTGTCTTATTTTCGGGGAAACACGGTAGTTACATAGTTACATAGTATTTGAGGTTGAATAAAGACATACAGTATGTCCATCAAGTCCAACCTAGTGTGTGTGTGTGTGTGTGTCCTTGATTCATCTCGTTCTTAGGAGTACCTGTACCCCTGTATATTACCGACTCTCAGGAAATCGTCCAAAAGCTTCTTCTTCTTCTACAAGTTCCCGACGCTAACCGCTCAAACTGAGAAGAACCCCCTTCGCCCCTTGTGTTTGAATTTTTTTTTCTACCAGTTTCAGGTGGTGTCCTCTAGTCTTTGTTACGGAATTAATCGTAAAGAGTTTGTTGCTAATGTCGCTATGACTATAGAACATTTTGTACATGAAAATCATGTCCCCCCCTAAATCTCCTTACTTCCAGCATGAACATATTTAAATTTAGTAGCCGTGTCTCATAGCTCTTGTCCCCCATCCCTTTGATGAGTTTGGTTGCCCTCCGCTGGACTCCCTCCAGCTCAAGGACATCCCTTCTGTGCACCGGTGCCCAAAACTGCACCGCATACTCCAGGTGAGGCCGAATCATTGATGTGTAAAGTGGCAAAATTATACACTTGTCCCTGCAAAACATTCCCTTCTTGATGCAGGACAGGACTCTACTAGCTTTGCTTACCGCAACCTGGCACTGTAATTTATTATTCAGTTTATGGTCTACAGTGACCCCCAAATCTTTCTCCATTTCAGACTTCCCTAGCGGCATACCCATAATTGTATAACAATTTGCTTATTTTTTATCCCAAAGTGCATAACTTTGCATTTATCGACATTGAACCTCATCTGCCACATAGTTGCCCACCCCCCTATTTTATCCAAGTCCTCCTGCAATGTTACACTATCTCGGTCTGTTTCTATTACCCTCCCAATTTTGGTATCGTCAGCAAACACTGAGATATCGCTGTTTACTCTGTCCCCAATGTCGTTAATAAACAGGTTGAATAGCATGGGTCCCAGCACAGATCTTCATCATCTTCTCCCTGCACAGAGCGGTGACTGTAATGCCACCACCCCCTGCAAGAATTCCCCTCCCCTCTCCGTTCCTCCAGTGCTGATTGGAGGGACAGACAGAGGAAGGGGTGCGCACAGCTGGCCCTGCCTCTAGAAAGGCAGCTGTCAATCATGCAGCGGGGTGGATCCTGACATTATTGTTGGGATCTTTCCTGGCTGCAGCGCAGCTCTGCGTTGTCAGCATATAGCGCGTAATACCTGAATTTTGGGTCACAGGAGGACATTAGTAAATGCCCTCCTGTGACCCAAAAGAGATCTATGGCCATGGTTTGGCAGTGTACACAGTGCATAGAACTTGCTGACTCAGGGACCTTACATCTCTGCAGTGGAGGGGGAGAGAGGCTCCAGGGACCAGTCTAAGAGCAAGCTGGCTCGAAGAATCAGGTGAGTATACATTTTTAACCCTAGACAAAAAAACGAACACTTAACCCTTGCAGTGCGGGGGTAGCTCCACTGCAACAGTTAATAAAATCTTTACCCGAATTCTGCTTTAACTAAATAAAAAAATGCATTGCAAAGACAGTACCGCTGTGACCAAAAAGACTGCAAATGCTTCTTTTGTTCTTTTTTTTGAAAGATCAAAATGTTTAATGAAATCGGTCAGTGTAGAAATATGTTCCTACATCATACTTCGTGCTCCATGCCACGTACCAAATGCGGTACGTGCCAAAAGGTCCATCACCACTTAACCACGGGTAAACCAACAACAGGAAATGAAGGCTGCAAAGCTCTAAATGTTCACAGAAGATATGTTTATTGTATAAACTGGGTCATTCTGCTCAGTGCCAACATCATCATGAAACTACATAGAAGGGTCCTGACTCTACAATAAACATACCTGGCATAAGCATTCAGCAGTGTGCCACAGGGCCAGATTTCTCACAAGGCCAACCAGGGATTCCTATCGCCCTATGCCCGGGACATGCAGTTCCGGGTGCTGGGTAGGAAGTTGTTTTCTACATTTAGCTCTGCTTTAGAAAAGCAGAGCTAAATGTACAGCGGGGAAGCCGCTCATTTGTGTACAAGTGTTTTCAGCAATGTCGCCGAGATCACTTGTATACAGCCTGCTCGTCCGTCCTCCTCTGCAAACCCACCCCCGCCGGATACCTATCTCCCCGCCGGTCAGAGATCCTGTCTTCAGGATGGAGAGCGGGGAGCATGCCTATGAAGGTGACAAGAGCATGCCGAGCGGTAATGAAGGTGACCAGAATGTGCATAGCAGTAATGAAGGTAACCAGAAAGTACAGAGCAAGCATGGTGGTAAAAAAGTGCAGAGCGGTAATGAAGGTGACAAGAATGTGCAGAGCGGTAATGAAGGTGACCAGAATGTGCAGAGCGTTAATTAAGGTGACCAGAATGTGCAGAGCGGTAATGAAGTTGACCAGAATGTGCAGATGAAGGTGACAAGAACGTGCAGAGCGGTAATGAAGGTGGCAAGAATGAGCAGAGCGGTAATGAAGGTGACCAGAATGTGCCGAGCGGTAAGGAAGGTGACGAACATGCAGATCGGTAATGAAGGTGACAAGAACGTGCAGAGCGGTAATGAAGGTAACCAGAATGTGCAGAGCGGTAATGAAGGTGACCAGAATGTGCAGAGTGGTAATGAAGGTGACAAGAACATGCAGAACTGTAATGAAGGTGACCAGAAAGTGCAGAGAGGTAATGAAGGTAACCAGAAAGTGCAGAGCGGTAATGAAGGTAACAAGAAAGTGCAGAGCAAGAATGGTAACAAGAAGGTTTTAAAGAAAATAACCATTGAATTGAAGAAAGAAATTGCAGAAAAGCATGATCGTGGTATTCGTGTGACTGATCTGGCCTCGGAGTACAAGATGGCGAAGTCGACAATCTCGACTATTTTGAAGAATAAAGAGGTCTTCAAAGCAGCTGATGTGGCAAAAGGAGTAACAATGTTAACCAAGCAGAGGACACAAGTACTGGAAGAGGTGGAAAAACAGCTGGCAGGTCATAGTGTTAGTGAAGCTATGATCTGTGAAAAGGCCAGGAAATTGAACAGTGATTTGCAAAACCCCTCCACAAGTTCATCTAGTGATGAATTTAAAGCCAGTAGAGGGTGGTTTGATAAATTCTGCAAGAGAAGTGGCATCCACGGTGTGATAAGACATGGTGAGGCTCCCAGTCCTGACAAGGCCGCTGCAGAAGCCTACAAGAAAGACTTTGCGGAAGGCAGAAGGATACGTCACTCAACAAGTGTTCAACTGTGATGAAACAGGGGTCTTTTGGAAGAAGCTGCCGAACAGAACCTATATCACGCAGGAGAAAAAGGCACTGCCGGGGCTCAAGCCCATGAAGGACAAATTTACACTTTTGCTGTGTGCGAACGCAAGCGCCGATCTGAAGATTAAGCCACTACTGGTGTAACATTCCCAGACCCCTCATGCATTCAAGGAACAGAATGTGAACAAGGCCAGTCTGCCTGTCATGTGGAGGGCCAATGTGAAAGCTTGGATCACAAGGCAATTGTTCATGGAATGGCTGCATGAGGTTTTCGCACCCACCATTAAGAAATATCTTTCTGACAACCAACTGCCTGAATGGTGCCTTCTTCGGATGGACAATGCCCCAGCACACTCTCCAGCCTTTGTGGATGATATGGACGCTAAGTATGACTTCAAAAATGTCAAGTTTCTCCCCCCCCCTAACACGACACCTCTTCTGCAGCCTATGGACCAGCAAAGTGATCTGCAACTTCAAGAAGCTGTACACAAAGGCGCTCTTCACCAGGTGCTTTAATGTCACTGAAGAGACGTCCTTGACTATGAAAGAGTTATGGAAGAAACATTTAAATGTCCTCCACTGCATCAACCTCATTGACAAAGCCAGGGAAGATGTCACGTACCGGAACTTAAACTCAGCCTGGATGAAACTGTGGCCAGAATTTGTCATTGAACTTGACTTGGAAGAGTCTGATGCACAGGTAGTAGAGAAGATTGTGTCCATGGGCAAGAGTATGGGTCTAGACTTCGTTGGTGCGGACATAGAGGAGCTTGTAGAGGACCATAAGGAGGAGCTGACGACGGAAGAACTTGCTGAACTCCAGATGGAGCAGCAGAAGGTGCTTGTTGAGGAGCATTCCACTGAGGAAGAGGAAGACGGGGAGGAGGTTAGCAGTGGTGTGATAAAATCCATTATGGAAAAATGGAATGAGTGCCAGGATTTCTTTGAGAAGCACCACCCCAACACAACTGTGATGAACAGAGTGTTGAATCTGATGAACGATAACGTGGGTTATGCAGCGCAGTAAAAAAACAAGTGACATTAGATAGATTTTTTCCCCAAAATTGACCGTGCAGCTAAGAGACAAATAACAGAGGAAACCCCTGAAGGATCTCCCCCGATGTCCTTGTGGAGGGGACTCTCCCTCCAAACAATAACCTCCTCCCCACCTTCCTGTCCTCCATGCCAGAAGTTGCCTCCAGAAAAGTTAGTGTTCACTCTCCTTATACTGTACTGTACTTTGTTTCATATTTTTGTGGTAAAAATGTTTTTTTTACATATGGTTCAGAACAGATTAACCTCATTTACATTGAACCTTATGGGAAAATTTGATTCTGTTTGTGATCAAAATCGGTTCGCGACCACGTTCGTAGGGGTCAGAATGGATTAACCTTATTTACATTGAACCTCATGGGGAAATTTCATTTGGTTCGCGACCTGTTCCGTTAGCAACCAGAATCTTGGAACGAATTAAGTCTGTGAATCGGGGTACCACTGTACATTTTCTAGCTTGGAGAAGGGAGGAACTGGGAGTATGTAAACGGTTTGCCTTGCTGTGCCTGTGTGTATGTCACATCCAGAAGTAGAGCAGCACCAGAAAACAGCATTATGCTAATTGCAAAATCTAGTAAGCGTGAGATAAAAGATATATCACTATGTGGTGCTATAACTTTCTTTTATGGGGTCTATTCACGAAGCTGCTGAAGGATCTAGCCGTAGCTTCGGCTGATCCATTGGCTAGCTTCGGCCCCAGGTCCCCTTCAGTTCCGGCAGTCGGCCGAGCGGCTCAGTCGAGCCGAAGGCATATACCTCGCCTCGACTGAGCCAAGGCGAAGCTGGCCGAACGACAGCCTGTTACTGACGGCTGGGCGGAGCCAGCCGCCATCTCACGGCTGGCTCCGGCCATTTGCAGAGACAGATCAGCATCCCTGGTTACCAGGTAACCAGGGAAGCTGATCTATCAATACTCTCCCGGACGCTCCGGGAGTCTCCCACTATTAGATGGCGGCTCACAGCCGCCTGGGAGAGAAACACTATTTTTTTTTTTTTTTTTTTCTTCTGACATCGGAGCCGCTGGCCGCCTTCAGTCAGAAAAAAAACAGCATAGGATCCATAGCTACATTTCTATTGGCTATTTCTCTTTGCAATAGCCAATAGCAAACTAGCTATTGCACCCGCCCACTGCTGCTGTCAATCAGCAGAGGGGACCTGAAGTTCTCCATCAGGTCCTCTTCTAGTGATTGCCAGCAGCAGAGGGTGGGTGCAATAGCCAGCTTGCTATTGGATATTGTAATTTGAAATAGCCAATAGTAATCTAGCTATGCATTCCACGCTCGGTGGCATTCGGCTGTTCACTCACTGCTGTTCGGCATCTATGAGAATAGGCCGAACGGCAGTGTGTAGCATGCCGGAGGTTCGGCTCAGCCAATCCAGATGTTGGATCGGCTAAGTCAAACTCCTTCTGCACTTCGGGTCGGCCGAACATGCTGAGCATGTTCGGCCGACCCGAAGCCAGCGGCAGCAAGCCGATGTATGGCTGATTTCAGTAGGTGTACGGCTGAAATCAGCCGTACCAGCCTGAAGTGAATATCCAAACAGCGTTCGGCTCACTTCACTTCGGGTCGGTTATTCACACGGCTGCCCTCGGCAGCTTTTGTGAATAACCCCCTGTGTGTTGTGTTTTTTTTTTTTAAACATCTGTATGCCAATGTTTTTTAAAATGAGGGAAAATGTAATATTTAATGGTGAACACCAGGTGACACTATAGCTGTCTGTTTCTCCTTTTGAATCCTATCTTTCTTGCTCTTTCCTGCTCTAATATATGCTCTTCTATATAAAAAATATACAATTTAAAGCCCTGTAACATAATTTTTATAGTACTGTATTGCATTCATTCTGCATAAATGGTAATAAATGTGAGTAATGGTATATTTTTTTTTTTTTTTCTGTACGAGTGGCTGTCATCACTGTTTGCCCCAAAGTTTTCCATCTGGCTCCTTGTGCTTTTTCTGATTGAAGGATGCCAGATGGAAGGGTGCCGACAGGGGCACCCATTGCAAAATCAGTCAGTTCCTCCGGCTGAAATTTACATTTATGACCAGCTTAACTTAAAGCATGAAAGGCTGGAAGTAAATAACAATGAATTATACTACCTATTACACAAACAGAGGAATAAACAGGGAAACAAAACAAATGCATAAAAAAAATATATTCATCAGATGGCTGTGGCAACACATTGCTTATCTGCTATTAATAGATATCACTATATATAAAATGCAATAATATCGCAACAATTACAGTACACAACGTGTAAATAAGTCAATTAATGTAAATGATGCTGTCCTTTTGAACCTGAATGCCATAGAGAATGAATTTTTGAACAAGAATAAATACCGGTTTCCAAATGGATCAAAAAACTTTCAGACTAATCTTCAGCAGGGTAGACTTGAAGTGAAGACATCAAGTCACTTGGCCCAGTGTGTGGCCCAGTTTGCAAAGCCTCTTAGAGGCTGAGGTGTTGCATAGTCTCACCTGTTCAAAAAACAGCCAAATAAATGTTTTAAATTACTGCGTACAGAATCAGTACAATATTTATCTGTCTTTTTGTTGTATAAAAATACACTTCAAAATGGTCTTTTTTCATTAATAGCTGACTGCTGTCCCTCCTCTTCAAAAGGCAGCTAAACAAAAGTGTTTAAATGCTGTTTATGGCAGGGCTCAAAATGTCCACTGGCCCCCTCGCAATTGGCGAGTGAAAATTGCGTGGGGGCGAGTGGAAATTCATCGGGGTGGCGCCGCCGACAGTACGAGGGGGGGAATTTGCCGCCGCTTCGGCAGCGGCGATCACCCGTTCAGCTCTCCCCCTCTTCAGCTCTACCCCTTCTTTTCTCCTCTTCGGCCGCGCTATAGATGCAGCAGCCAAAGAGGAGAAGAAAAGAGAGAATGTTCAGCTGGCTGTCCGTCATCTGCATGCCCACGTTAGCTGCCATAGGCTGGGAGGAAGACTGCAGAGCTCCAATTGGCTGGCTGGCAGGACAGAGCGGGGCCTGAAAGGAGGCTTCAAGTCGGACATGGAGGACAGATCTCTGCCCCCCCACCAGGAGAAGAAAAGGGCACCTGAATCGGGTCAGCCATGTGTACTCTGCGTTCTTGATGACCTCTGCACTGTGCGTTCTTGATGACCTCTGCACTGTGCGTTCTTGATGACCTCTGCACTGTGCGTTCTTGCTGACCTCTGCACTGTGCGTTCTTGCTGACCTCTGCACTGTGCGTTCTTGCTGACCTCTGCACTGTGCGTTCTTGCTGACCTCTGCACTGTGCGTTCTTGCTGACCTCTGCACTGTGCGTTCTTGCTGACCTCTGCACTGTGCGTTCTTGCTGACCTCTGCACTGTGCGTTCTTGCTGACCTCTGTGGGTTGGTGGCGTGCTCGGAAGACAAAAGCCGCACGGGCCGGTGTGTGCAATCGCACATTGCCCGCTCAGCATTACATACATTGGCAAGCCCTCCCCTGGGCGGGCAGGGCTTGCGATGATCGCAAGTACGATCTACCTGTCCAAGATGGGCAGATCGTATGAAATTCGAATGTCCTTACAACCATCGCACAACGAAAGTCGTGTGATGGTTGTAAGTAGGGATGCACCGATACCACTTTTTTAGGACCGAGTACGAGTACCAATACTTTTTTCAAGTACTCGCCGATACCAATTACCGATACTTTTTCTTAAAGAGGCAGATCACATTTTTTCAAAAGCAATACAAAATAATGATTTTAGGTCAGTTTCTTAATCTTATGAAGAACTGTAACTCAAAAGACAACATGACTGTCAAAAAATAAGTTTACTTTGCTTAAATTGTCACAAAGTTGTACTCAACGGAATTTCTCATAACATGTTTGTTAATTAAATATTACACAAACAATAACATGTCATTAATAATAACAAAGGTGCAATATATAACAGTACTGTAAACAGTGCACTCACTGTACTCATAGGGAGCAACAGTATGGGCTAGATTACAGTTCTTTGTTAAGCTTTACCGATGCTCTCCTTACATTTCCAACCCCATTAAAGTCTATGGAGTGAGAAATGTGAAGAGAGCATTTGTAAAGCTTATCAGTCAAGTGTAATCTAGTCCTATAATTAATTATAGGAGGAATTAATTAACTTCTATAATCTTTCTAAAGCCAGTGGCAAGTTTTTTTTTTTTTTTAAGGAACAGAAGCATCTCTGCATGGTCAGCTAGAAGTCTGTTCCTGCTATCAGTAAGTACATGTGATGCAGAGCTGAACAATCGTTCACTTTCCACGCTACTGCATGGCGCTGAAAGATATATTTGCGCCAATTGAGCCAGACACCGTCCAGACTTGTACTTGGCTTGTCACTGCGAGGTCTTTTGGCAGATGGTTCCCCATGCATCTCAGATGTTGGGGTTTCCCGAGAGTTTTTCAGCAGTTCCGGCATTAACATGTCTTTTCATATGCCTGGCATTCAAGCAGTAAATTCGTCATATTCCGCTTTGTGCTTAATTTTCAAGTGCTTTATAAGATTGCTCGTATTGAAAGAACTTGTCTTTGTTCCACCTCTGGATATTTTTGCAGGGCAAAGTTTGCATTCTGCCATGCGTACATTGTTCTCGTTAATTTTAAAATAGTTCCACACCACTGAAATTATGCTGATGTCTCTGAAAGGCTCCAATATATAATGCACTTCACCTTGGTTAAAAAAAAAAAGAAAATAATAGAAAATTATGATTATTAGAACTAGCGGAAAGTACTATCTACTTTTTATGTAACTACTTGGCTGGGGTGTTAAACCCCCTTCCTTTCCAGGCCATTTTTCAGTATTCAGCACTGCGGTACTTTGAATGACATTTATTCCGTCATACAACGCTGTACTGAAATGATTATCGTACAATTTCTTGGGGACAGATAGAGCTTTCTTTTGGTGGTATCATCGCCACTGGGTATTTAATTTTTTTTACTGTTTAACGTAAAAACACAAAATTTGAAAGAAAAAACTGTTTTCCCTATGTTATGTAATGAAACATTTTATTATCCAATTTTTTGGTAACATATGAAAGACTGGGTCAAATCGGGTAAACAGACACCAAACATGTCAAGCCTTAAGAATGTCCGTGCATGCAAAATTGGCCATAGGCGACGCTTTAAAAGCTTTTATTGCTCATCAGTTTAGCGTTATCAGTGATTGATGGCCCTTAAATTATTGCTCACGCTCCGCCGTTCACGTCGATATGTAACATGGCTCAATACACAACAAAATGCTAATGTCATGCTGAAGTGACATTGTTAGTAAAATCTCAACGTGCCATTTGAAAAAAGGCCACAAGATGGCGTATGGATAGGATGGAAGCAGATGGAATTGTGTAGAAAAGTGAAAAAACCTTAGGGGTCTATTCACGAAGCTGCCGAGGGCAGCCGAGTGAATGACCGATCTGAAGTGAAGTGAGCCGAACACTGTTCGGCTATTCACTTCAGGCTTCTCACTGCTGTTCGGGCTATTCTTAAAGATCCCGAACAGCAGTGAGTGAATAGCCGAATGCCGCCGAGCGGCTCGGCTGTTCTGCTCGGTCCCTCAGAGGTACCGAGCAGAACAGAAAAACAGTGAAAATTTTGTAAAAAGTAAATAGCAAACGATTGTGCGGAGCCAGCAGTGACAGCTAGCTCCGCCCAATAGTTTCCTATTGTCCGGCGGCTCTGCTGCTGTAAAAAAAACAAAAAACAAAAAAAACCTACTGAATAGTGATTATATAACAAATAAAGATTAATTTATCTTTGACTATGCTGTATTAATATAACATTGACATTCCTGGACCTGTATATCAATATATTTTGTATTTGTTTAAATGTGCCACGTATACAGAATTGGATATATATAGCTGTACCACACTATACAATAATACACTGTTCTGGAGTCTGGACATATGCTCATCTATTTTCCCCAGCATGGGGATACAAGCCTTAGTTAGCAATGGCATGATCTAAATTTAGGGACAAAATGTTCACTTGGTGCCTAATATATCCCACCCATTTCCAGGTGCCATTGTAACGAGATAATTAATGTTATTCACTTTACCTGTCATTGGGCATAATGTTATGGCTGTTCAGTATTTTGGGTTTTGGATTTAGATACACTCAAATACTATTATATCTGGAGTGCTGTGCTTGGAGGGAGCAAGGCATACAGATAAGAATTATGATGATTCCTGCTGATGCCTCCCTCTCCACAATAGAATTTTTGTTCTACAAAATATATGTACATGTATATCATACAATTATGATTTTAAATGCGGTTCTAGACAATTTTAACAATACCATTTATTTTTATTAGTTACTGTGGGCACAAGACACGAGTAGACATTTCTTCTGATATTGAAGATGGGATGTGGTTTTTATTAGGTCAGGTTTTTTCTTATCTGTGTCAAGATGTTCAGAAAATCCTGAAAGGAGGAACAAAGTAGGCAGATAAAATCTTCCACATATAGAATTTGCTTGACCTAATACTATATATTAAAGTGGAATTGTATCGACAGCCAAAACAGTTTTTATGTTTTGGATACACTGTAAAAGTGTAGAAGCCTCTGTCATGTTTTAATTTCTCTGTATACCCATCAGATAGGAAGTAAGTTAAATTCGCTAAAAATAAAAATGTCCTTTAAGCAGTACAGTGTGGACACCTCTCTGCCCTCCGTGCATCATTGGACAATGAAAAAGTAGCAGCAGACTAATGAAGTCATCTCTCTCATCTGTCCTTCCCTTAGAGGGTTATTCACGAAGGATCCAGCCGTAGCTTCGGCTCACTGTACCCATCGGCACGCAGACAAGGTGCTTTTCCAAAGGGCACCCTTGGTGTTCACTCATTCCCCCCCCCCCCCGCCTTCC